AAAACTTAAAAACCACAGATAGTATGATCTGATTCATGTTTCTTAAAAGGTAAAAGGTACATGTACGTGTTCTATGATATGTAAATATCTAGAAAAGGAAATGTTAGTGACAGATATCTATGAGAAGGCTGGGAGTGGGGAGCAGAAGTTCATGCTTTACTTTATATACTTATGCACAGAAGTATATGCAACCAGAATGTCTTTGTGTTTTATGAGAAGCCACTTGTTACTCCTTCAGATTTATCTGGCCTCCCTGCATCTTTTCCCAGCCACCAGTTGCCTCCAGCTGGCTTCTTCCAGGTGCAACCTAACAGAGCCTTGCCCAGGCCACTCTCTCCCCGCTTCAAGGTTTCTGTTTCGTTCCTGGCTGTCTTGTGGGATGGAGCAACCTGTTAAACATGTCAGGTATTTTGGTATCGGCTCTTCCTGCTTCCCGGCTTCACCTTCCCTGTCCCTTGGTCTTGCTCCCTGGATTACAGTCCTGCGTAGAGGATGCACACTTAAGCCTTTGTTTTACTAATCTGCATTCTGTTGAACCCAGATTAAGACAGTTTATTGCTGATTTTTTAAAAAAGTGAATGAATTAAAGAGTGGAAAGTAGAGAGCAACTAGAATATTAGTTACAAATGAGCAGAAGCATTTCTGAATTAGATTCTAGTTTCACTTTGAATTAGGCTTTTCTATCTTTTTTCTTTATTAAAATCACAAAATTATGGTCAGGTTCAGGAAAGGACCTGCACAAAACACCATCCTCTGTATGAAAGCATCAAAAAAAAAAAAGGCATCACCATAACTCTTTCCAGTTCAAACATGAGCTTTAGGAAGGTGCCAAAAACAGACCAATTAAGTGTTCAAAGGAAAAAAAAAAGCAGCACTGGTAGAAATATACTGTTGCTACCATTAAAAAATTTAAAAGTGTAAATTTCTGAATGAAGGAGAAAACCAGTTAGAAGAAATATATATGAATTTAAAACAAATTCATAGCTTAAAAATGTCATATTTTAAAGTTGGACAGAAGGAAACCCGATAAATGGTCATAAATGGTCCCCTCAGTCTTCCGGGCCATAAGAGGCCATGTGGTTGGGCGTATTTGTGTGAGGGAGGAGGCCTGAGCCACTGACTGACTGTATTACCTTTGACAGCTTTTCCCTCTTTGAACCAGCTTCTTCTCTTGCAAAACAGGTTTAATAATACTTGTCAACTCCTTAAATGCCTGGGTTTTGTGCTCTGAGTTATTTCACTGACAGGTGTTATCAGAACAACTTATCAATTGCTTTTAACTTCTTGACAATGATGTGCCTGTTACGGATTCTCAGAGATGATTCATACCAGCGAAAGGAATGACCTGGTGAAACAGGGATGAGAAGTCTTTTGACCAAAAAGGTCACACTGATACTGGCTCCAGCCAAAAGCCAAGGAATATGTTGCTTTTTGGCTTTTGAATTTCATTATTTCTCCTCTGGGCTGCAAGCTTCTGCTACACTGTACACCCCTAGAACAGGGGATTGTACCAGTAGTTATTTCCTGATTAAAATTCATTATTCCTACTGCCTGTATTCTTCAACCGTATCTGTTCTTCTCCGCATTTGTGTATGTCACATTTACAAGGATGAGGGTAATTTCTAAACCAAGCCAGTGATACCTGTTTCTACCTCTGTGAAAAGAACTGAGCCTTGAAACTAAAATGTCATTCTGTGGCTCCTCACCCAAAATGTGCATACACATGATTTACTTAAGGAAGTGAAACATGAATTATGCTTTAAATGCTTCTTAACTGATTTTGACTTCTAACTCTTATCTTTTCCCAGCTAACAAGCCTGTGGCTTAAAAGTCTTCTTTTTTTCTTAAGATGTAGCTACTCGTGACTTTATAGCATAGATA